GGAATTAAAATAGAAATCCTCCCCAGCGGAGTCGCCAAAAACTGTAGAGAATATTTCAAACATTATCCCAAACTTGAACCCCACTGTGATCATATACTAAAGTACGGTGGCGTCCAAAAGGAAGGAAGCTAAAGCAAAAGAGTCGCCAACAAGTTTTAGGAACTTGTTAACCGTTCACAGGGTGAAGGTTACACCCCTTAACGATCCAAGAGATCGTTAACTCTAATAGGTCTGGAACCAAGACTGGAAGTTCGGGATGAAGGTACAAATCCAATCTAAAAGAGAAAGAACCTGCCCTAATAATAGGCCTCTACTTTATTCTTCTCGTATCCATGTGCACTTTCTGACTAACATGCAATCATTAGGTTAATCCTAAACCTGTTTAATCTATGTTGGTTGAAAATTAATGCACAAATAAATCTATTATTAACGATCACTTGAATTATAATCATATTAACCCTAAAAAAGATTATTAATTATCTTATTAAGTGTAATTACAAGTACAAATTCCCTTTAAACATGTATAAAAGGTGTGATCAAGCAATAACAAATAATAAATATAATAAAGTAACATAATATTAACAAATTATATATAAATTATCCGTCATTTAACAAATAACATGAAATAATTCGTAAATTAACAAATAACATTAAATAATTTGAAAATTAACATATTACGCGAAACAATTCGTAAATTAACAAATTACGTGAAATAATTCATAAATTAACAAATTACGTGAAACAATTCGTAAATTAACAAATTACGTGAAACAATTTGTAAATTAACAAATTACGTGAAACAATTCGTAAATTAACAAATTACGTGAAACAATTCACTAATTAATAAATTACGTTAAATTATATAATTTGAAGCAACAATAATCATAATTATAATTATCATAATCATGTTAAAGCATAATATTAATATCAAAATCCTAGGCATGATACTACAAGATTAATAACAAACCCTAGAATGTCACTAAACAATAAAGATTATAGCTTTAACCCTAACATGATACTAACATGCTATTAAGAAAGAAAGTAGGAAGTATCATATAAATCATAATTGATAATTGATATAAGCAACTTATTCTTTACCCTAAATATCATATTAAGAAAAGCATCCTAACATGATAATAGGAATCAAAATAACAATCTAAGCATGATTTCTATATTAAAATATTAATAAAGCAATTAAAGTTCTTACTTGGATGCTTCGTATCTCTTTCTAATAACAAAATACACAAGTAATTAGTAACTTCAAGGAAAATATAAAATCAAACAATTAAATCAAATAATTGAATAGAGATTTGGGACCAAACCCTCAGAATATCAAACCTTTCACGTCTAGGGCGAAGACAACTTCGAATTTGGCTAAGTGTGTCTAGTGCTAATGTATGAGACATTGTGTTTGTAAAAGGCTAGCTAGAAAAGGGAGAGAGAATAAGCTTTAGATTAGAGAGAGAGAAGATAATTAGAGAATTCTGGTTAAAAGTTGATGATTAAAAACAGAGGTCCAGGAACCCTATTTATAAGAAAATAGTCCGGAATCGATAAAAATGAATCAATGTTTGAAAAGGAATAAAACACGTCTCTGTCGACAACAACAGTACCTGTCGCCAAGCGACAAACTTGTCGTCCGAGTTGCAAGACAGTTTTTGCGGATTTTGTTTTTTTCATATCTTTTGATCCATAAGTCCAAATAAGTCATATAATATTTCGTTGATAAGCTCTTGAATTCTAGTTTTCAACCCAACTAGAATCAGATTAAAATCTTTTGTAGATAAAAAGATATGGCTGAAATAGTGGAAGGGTGTCAATTTCGGATAGAGTTTCGTATTCCATTCATATCTTTTTCGTTATAACTCGGAATTAGTATTATAATATATCATTGGAAAGATAATTTCAAGATCTATCTAACCATAAAAGATTTGGGTAAAGATTATGAGGCACAAAGATAATATCTGAATATATTCCATTTCGTACAGAACAAGGATTCTCAAAAGGAGTAGTTTTATTCAATTTCAAACTTTTTTAAACATAATTATCAGTCCTAACTCCATTAGGATTCAAAAGAACCTTCTATAATCAATCCTAATAGCTTTAGGAATGAAAATTAATAATAGGCCCTCCTTTAGATCATTGGGCCGCATATAAGAACCAAACCGGGCCTAGTTTAATATTTTGACCATAATAACTTCCTCATTATTCATCGGAATTGGGCTTATAATATATCGTTGGAAAGGTCTTTTCAAGCCCTATCCAACTACACTATTATTGTACCCTTGTCATGGACCAAACTAAACTGGATTGACTATTTTCATATAATAAAAATAGAGTAGGTTATCGAAAACAGAAAGAAAGATTTTTTTATAAAAACTAACCGCAACATTAGACTTTTCACACCTTCACTTTGTTCGATTATGATTCGACGCAAAAGGTATTCATCACTGGGTTTGGTTTTGGGGAGACACATTTTGGTGTCTACAGGATTGTGTGATCATGATGCTTCTAATTGCCTTCATTCATGTATAGTTGTTTGTGATGATCAAGATGGAAATGTGAATGAGCATGTGAACTATTGTAGGGAATATTTTCAAGCGTTAACCCCTAGCTTGAACCCCACTGTGATCATACACTAAAGTACGGTGGCGTTCAAAAGGGAAGAAGATAGAGTAAAAGAGTCGCCAACAAGTTTTAGGAACTTGTAAACCGTTCACAGGGTGAAGGTTACACCCCTTAACGATCCAAGAGATTGTCAACTCCATAAGGTCTTGAACCAAATAAGGGTTCGGGGATGAAGGTACAAATCAACCTAAAAGAGATTGAACCTGCCCTAATAATAGGCCTCTACTTTATTCTGATCGTATTCATGTGCGCTTTTTTACTAACATACAATCAATAGGATTAGCCCTAAGCTAAACCTGTTTAATCTATGTTGGTTGAATTTAATTGCACAAATAACACTATTATTGGCGATCACTTGAATTATAATTATATTAACCCTAACACGATTATTAATTATCTTATTAAGCGTGATTACAAGTACCAATTCTCTTTAAACATGCATAAAAGGTATGATCAAGCATTAACAATATAAATAATCAAACAACATAATAATAATCAAAATAATACAAATATAATTATTATAATCATAACAATCATAATTAAGAATAATCAATAATAATAAAGTATAACAATTATAATCATAAATCATAAAGTATAATCATAATAATAATCATCGTAATAACAATCATAATAATAATCATCGTAATAACAATCATATTAATAATCATGTTAAAGCATAGCAAGATCCTAGGCATGATACTAACAAGATTAATAACAAACCCTAGCATGTCACTAAACAATAAAAATCAAAGCTTTAACCCTAACATGATACTAACAATCATAAATATTAGGAAAAACATAGGAAGCATCGTAACAATCATATTTGATATTAAAATTACCCTAGACATGATACTAGGAATCAAAATAACAATCTAAACATGATTTCTACATAATAACATCAATTAAACCATTAAAGTACTTACTTTGACGCCTCGTACCTCTTTCTAATAACAAAATACATACGTTAGTAAATTCAAGGAAAATAATAATTAAAATAATTAAATTAAATAATGGAAAAAGAGATTTGGGACCAAACCCTCAGAAATTAGACCTTTCACGTCTAGGGCGAAGGCAACTTCGAATATGGCTAGGTGTTTCTAGATCTAATGAATGCGGAATTTTGTATGTAAAAAGCTAGTTTAGAAAAAGAGAGAGAGAGATCAAAAGAATCTTGATGAGAGTTGGTGAATGATTAAAGAGAATGAGAGAGGATTGATGAATGAAAACTGGCTGTAGGTGAATGAAAACGGAGTTTTTACGACGTTATTTATAGAGAAAATCAGCCAAAAAGATAAACATATCCAAACAGAGTTTGGCGCACATGAAAACGAACCAGCGCCAATGTTGGCTGTTGGCGCCAGGCGCCAATGCTGGCGCCAGGCGCCAAGCGTAGCTCCAGGTGCTACAGCTGGCGTTTGGCGCTGATTCAGAAAATCACGTGTTTTCTTAAAATCAGATAAAATTGCCGTACAGGAGGATAAAATTGTATTTCCCTCAAAAATGCTCTTTGATTTTAATTAAAACTCTGAAAAGTCAACAAAAGTCAATTTATCAATGCTAATTGAATTAGGAATGAAAAGAACCTTCTAGAAGAATCTTGAAGACTAAAACCATTCCTAATTGCATTAGGAATGATAAATCATATTAGGCCCTCCCCTAGATCATTGGGCCGCATATAAGGCTCAAAACGGGCCCAGTTTAGTAAATTGGCCATAACTTCCTCAATATTCATCGGAATTGGGCTTATAATATATCGTTGGAAAGCTCTTGTCAAGCCCCATCCAACTACACTAATATTGGACCCATATCATGGACCAACCAAACTGGATTGGCTGTTTTTTTAAAAAAGTTTTCAAAAATAGAGAGAATAGAAAAGAAATTAAAACTATCCGCAACACTAAACTTTCCACACTTTCATTTCATTCGATTATGATTCGACGTGAAAGGTACTCATCACCGGGTTTGGTTTTGGGGAGACACAAATGGGTGTCTACAACTATGTGTCAAACAATAATGATTCTAGGTTTGAGAATCAAAGAGGCCAATAGAATAGGAATTACAACAACCGTGGCAATTTTGACAACTACAACCAAAATTCCCGAGGTAACTATAACAACCAAGGTTATAGTGGCCAAAATCAAAACCAAAATTATGGTAATCATAACCAAGGTTATGGTAACCATAATCAAGGTAGAGGTAATTGGAACAATCAAAATAGGGGAAATTTTCAAAATAACTCTCAAACGGGTCCCCCACCCGGATTTGCTCCAAAGACCCAGAATGATGATTCCTATGTTCAATCCTCCTCTTCTTCTTCTAGGACTAATTTGGAAGAAATCATTGAAAATCAAACTAAGTTGTTGAACACTTACATGGCCGTAAGTGACAAGAAATTTAATGAAATGATGACTCATAATAAGATGCTTGAAAACCAAATTTCTCAACTTGTTAATGCTTTGAAAGACCAAGATAGTCTTTCATTTTTACCTTCCCAAGGCCTAGATCCCAAGAGACCAGTCAAAGCTATTGTTACAAGGTGTGGTAAGGTTCTTGAGGAGAGTTTTCCTAGAAAGAGTAAGATCAAGGAAGCCACAAATGAGGTTTTGGTAGAATATGAGAGAGATGGTGCATCTTTGAGTGAGGTTGAGATTAAGAAACCTAGTGAGGTGAGAGTGGAGAAAGAAATTGTGAAACCCAAACTTCCTTATCCACAAAAATTCATGAGACACAAGTTAGATGAACAATTTGGAAGATTTATTGACATGCTCAACCAACTTCACCTTTCTCTACCATTTACCAAAGTTGTCACCCAAATGCCCAACTATGCAAAATTCCTCAAAGACATTTTGAGCGGTAGGAGGACTTGTGATGTTGTAAAGACGGTGAACTTGACCAAGAATTATAGTGTAATTATAATGAACAAGATGCCACCTAAGCTCAAAGACCCCGGAAACCTTTTTCATCCCTTGTGCCATTTATAAAATGCAAATCGAGAATGCCTTATGTGACCTAAGTGCTAGTGTTAGCCTTATGCCATATTCGATATACCAAAGACTTGAGCTAGGGGAACTCTTACCTACCTACATCACTTTGCAATTGGTCGATAGGTCAATTAAGATTCCTAAGGGTAAGGTGGAGGATGTTCCTTAGAGGGTTGGGAAATTTGTCATTTCGGTGGAATTTGTGGTGATTGAGATGGACGGAGATGCTAGCATTCCTATCATTCTAGGGAGACCATTCCTTGCTAATTCGGGTGCTATGATAGATGTGAAGAGTGCTAAAATTTCACTCAAAGTAGGGGATGAGGTGGTAGAATTTGACTTGAATGATAGTATGAAGTATCCAAGTTCCTCTCTAGAAAATTGCATGTTGATTGATTCTCTTGATCATGTTGTGTCTTCCATGCACGAGCAATTGCTCAATTATAATGATGCTCTTGAGAATGTTTTGTTGAATAAGGAAAAGATAGGTGCTCCTAGCAAGGAGATGGATTTGTATGAAGATGTCCTCAACGGAGACCTTGAGGATGTTGAAGAGAAAATGTGTATGAGCATTTCTAGCCAAGAAGAGTTGCAAGTGGAAACATCAAAGGAAGGTAAAGTGGTTCCAATGGTTGAGCTCAAGCCTCTCTCATCACACCTTAGGTATGAATTCTTAGGACCCAACTCTACCTTTCTCGTAATTGTTAGCTCTTCTTTGAGTGAGCGCCAAGATCAAGAGTTGCGTGGTGTTTTGAGAAAGCATCAAGGTGCTTTGGGTTATTGTAGGGAATATTTCAAGCGTTAACCCCTAGCTTGAACCACACTGTGATCATACACTAAAGTACGGTGGCGTCCAACGGGACAGAAGATAGAGCAAAAGAGTCGCCAACAAGTTTTAGGAACTTGTAAACTGTTCACGAGGTGAAGGTTACACCCCTTAACGATCCAAGAGATCGTCAACTCCACAAGGTCTTGAACCAAATAGGGTTCGGGGTTGAAGGTACAAATACAACCTAAAAGAGATTGAACCTGCCCTAATAATAGGCCTCTACTTTATTCTGATCGTATTCATGTGCGCTTTCTTACTAACATGCAATCAATAGGTTTAACCCTAAACCTATTTATCTATGTTCGTTGAATATTAATGCACAAATAAACTATTATTGGCGATCACTTGAATTATAATCAAATTAACCCTAAACAAGATTATTAATTATCTTATTAAGCATGATTACAAGTACAAATTCCCTTTAAACATGCATAAAAGGTGTGATCAAGCAATAAAAATAAATATATCAAGCAACATAATAATAAGAATAAAATAATAATAATCATGTTAAAGCATAATAATAGCAAGATCCTAGGCATGATACTAACAAGATTAATAACAAACCCTAGCATGTCACTAAGCATATAAAAATCAAAGCTATAGCCCTAACATGATACTAACATGAATAAATATTAGGAAGAAAATAGGAAGCATCACAGGAATCATAATTGATATAAGCAAATCACCCTAAATATCATACTAAGAAAAGCATCCTAACATGATACCATGAATCAAAATAACATCCTAAACATGATTTCTAATAACAAAATACACACGTTAGTAACTTCAAGGAAAATAATAACAAAATACAATTAAATTAAATAATTGAAAGAGATTTAGGACCAAACCCTTAGAAATTAAACCTTTCACGTCTAGGGCGAAGGCAACTTCGAACTATGCTAGGTGTGTCTAGTGCTAATGTATGAGGAATTGTGTTTGTAAAAAGCTAGGCTTAGAAAGAGAGAGAGAATCAAGAAATTCTTGATGAGAGTTGGTGAATGAAAATGGAGTTTTTAGAAAGCTATTTATAGAAAAACTCAGCCAAAAAGATAGAAAATCAAAACAGAGTTTTGACGCGCATAAAACTTGATTAGCGTCGACGTTGGCAATTAGCGTCAGGCGCTGAAGGTTAGCGCCAGGCGCTATTAATCAGCTTCGTACGTTTTTGTTTTTATCATATCTTTTTATCCGAAAGTCCAAATAAATCATATAATATGACTTTGGAAATTTCTTGAAGTATAATTTCCAACCCAATTAGAATCAGATTAAAATCTTTTGTAGATAAAAAGATATGGTCGAAATAGTGGAAGGGTGTTAGTTTTGGATAGAGTTTCATGTCTCATTCATATCTTTTTCGTTATAAGTCGAATTTAATATTATAATATATCATTGGAAATATAATTTCAAGATCTATCCAACCATATAAAATTTGGATAAATATTATGAGTCACGAAAATAAAATCTGAATATATTCTACTTCGTACAAAACAAGGATTCTCAAAAGGAGTAGTTTTATTCAATTTCAAACTCTTTAAAACATAATAATCAATCCTAACTCCATTAGAACTTAAAAGAACCTTCTAGAGTATTCTAGAAGACTATAATCAATCCTAATATTTTTAGCAATGATAATTAATAATAGGCCCTCCTCTAGATCATTGGGCCGCATATAAAAACCAAATCGGGCCCAGTTTAGTATTTTGGCCATAACTTCCCATTATTCATCGAAATTGGGCTTATAATATATCGTTGGAAAGGTCTTTTTCAAACCCCATCAAAATACACCATTATTTGACCCTTATCATGGACCAAACTAAACTAGAATGCACGTTTTTCAAAAATAAGGTAAGAAAAGAAATATTTTCAAAAACAGAAAGAAGAGATATTTTAATAAAAACATCCTTATCACTAGACTTTTCACACTTTCGTTTTGTTTGAAAATAAAATGACATGAATGGTACTCATCACTGGGCTTGGTTTTGGGGCGACACATTTGGGTGTCTACAGAAGCCCCCACTTTGACTGAGTTTGGAGAAATGCAAGTTTCGAAAACAAAAGTCAAAGTATAGATAGGGACGGAGAATGATTCAGAACGTTCTGCGATCCTAAATCATTCTTGTAACGCTGATACCTGCGAACTAGCGTTAGTTAAACAGATAAAAGAGTTAAAAAACGCGTATCTTGCAGCGTCGAGCACACGTCTCTAAAGTAACCGATTTGTTGCTGCTTTTTCTGTTTTGATGTCCTCCTTCAAGTCAGAGAATGCCATCCTGCATGAAGACTGCTACGCTTGCAACTGCCTCCAATTTTCGCCTTGATAATCTCCCGCAAGCTAGGGAACACTATCGAAGATTGCTTCGCTTGAAACGATCCTCTTCCGCTTTATGACCATCCTCCACATCTTAGGGAACACGATCGAAGACAACTTCGCTTGAAATTACCTTCAGTTGTTTGTGACAACTCTCCACAATCTAGGGAACGCTATCTTGCTGTTTCGATGTTCACTCGTCTCTGAATAAAGAGCTTCTTTTTTTTTGATATGTTCACGCGCCTCTGGACAAAGAGCTTCTTTTTTTAATATGTCCACGCGTCTCTGAAAAATAGAGCTTGAAAGGATTGTCCACGCGTCTCTGAACAAAAGAGCTTGAAAGGATTGTCCACGCGTCTCTGAACAAAAGAGCTTGAAAGGTTTGTCCATGCGTCTCTGAACAAAAGAGCTTGAAAGGATTGTCCACGCATCTCTGAAAAAAAGTGCTTGAATGCTTATTGCGATAATATTCCGAAGAAAAATTTCCGAAGACCAACGCTTGTCGATCTCTAAAGTTCGCTTGAACTTTGCTTCCGCTATGCCAGTACGTCGGCGGTTTGCTGCTTGTGAACCATTAAGTCGGTGCCTCTGCTGTTTATTAACCAGTATGTTGGTGTCTCTGTTATTTAGGAACCAGTACGTCGGTGTCTCTGCGATGAGCCAATGCTTAGGCGCTTTAAGCTAAATGAGACGATCTTTCATCACGTCGATCACCTATTGTGATTGTGATCAAGCTAACTACTTGATCATGTCAAATTTCTTATAGGGGCTAACTGGCATACCAAGGAACCCAAAATTGCTGAAAGAGGTTGAAATATTGCCACTATTTAGATCCTCTAATTGCGGTATTTTTCTACGTTTGTCCCTTGTTTGTACCCCTTTTGCTCCGTTTCTCCCTTTATTATGTTTTTGTGCTTTTCCTCGTGTTTTGTAGGCTTTTGGAGTTGATTTTAATAGAATGAAGAGCTTGGAGAATTGGAGTTCATTTGAAGAGCTACAAAGGAAGTTAAGGAGCAAGCAAGCAAGGCCATGCGGACAACGCGGGTCGCGCTTTCAGAATGGCGCGGGCGCGCCAAGCCAAGCGCGGGCGTGCCTAACATTGGGGTTGAAAATATTGAAGGAGGCAGAATGTAGGCGCGATTTGGGCGCGGCTTAGGCGCGGGCGCTCCTAAGATAGGCGCGGGCGCTCAAGGGCCTGAACTCCGAGACTAACCTTTGTTCACTCTTTTAGCCATAACTTTTGATCTACAAATTGGATTGAGGTGATTCAAGTTGCATTAGAAACTAGACTTAAAGAGGTTTCCAACGCTAGGTTGCACGCCCCCAGAAGCCTCTTATAACAGAAGTTATGGCCATTTGAAAATGAATGTTGCTGTCAGGCCAATCCCAATGCGCGGGCGCGCAGGCCTCTATCGCGGGCGCGCACGAGCAGATACGGGTCTTTTAAATGCTTCTTCCTCTCCTCTTTTTGGCCAAGTTTTGATGGTGGGTTTCTTTGGGGTTTTCTCTCTCCTCTTTGAGGGGTTAAACCCTAACATCTCTCCATCAATCTTCACATAAATTAGGCTTAGATTTAGTTTTAATCTTTGTTTTTATACTTTGCAATGTAGATTAAGAGTAATTTAGGGTATTTTAGAGAGAGAAAGTGAAGAGCTTCAATGGTGGATTGAAGAATATGAAGATGCAAAGTGACATTGTTTTGGATTCCTTTTCAATACTTCAATGAGCATTCTAAACTCTATCTCATTTATTGTTCTTTCTTAATTTCTTGCTTGATTAGAGTAGTTATTTAGTTTAATTGCTTCTCTTTGTTCTTCTTGTTGGTTTTTGTGTTAGTTGTTCATGATTAGTGAGTAATTCCCT